ACAGGAGAGCGGAGAGAGAGGGAGACAGGAGAGCGGAGAGAGAGGGAGACAGGAGAGCGGAGAGAGAGACAGGAGAGCGGAGAGAGAGGGAGACAGGAAAGCGGAGAGAGAGACAGGAGAGCGGAGAGAGAGACAGGAGAGCGGAGAGAGAGACAGGAGAGCGGAGAGAGAGACAGGAGAGTGGAGAGAGAGACAGGAGAGCGGAGAGAGAGACAGGAGAGCGGAGAGAGAGAGGAAAGGGGAGAGAGAGAGAAAAGAGAACAAGGAGAGTGGAGAGAGACTCTGACTATACAAATCACAATTTGGGGTATCTGAAATCAAAAGATTGTGGGTGTTTGTTGTTTTTGATGAAAATATTCGTCTGTACATCTGTAACAAGATTTTCATTAACATGAATTTCCCCAATCTCATAACACCAAAGCGCTGGGAATTAAAAAGGTCTGTTTTGTATGGGGGTACCTTACATGGAGGCCTCGGGAAAATTTCGAAATTTTCTTCAAAAATGGTAGTCAATAAAACCTACATTGATTTTTCAGTCTGAATCACATACAAGATTTTAGTCCTATACTTTTGAAATTATCAATAAACAGTATATGTACTATAACACAAACTCTGATTTTTAACACACGCTTTCACTTATTTTCAATATTTGGTGCACTTTGGAACTCTGTTGGACATAATTTCACTTGTGGAATAGGAACTTTTGCTTTGGAAATTGTCAGATAAATCCCCTCCTCACTTTGCAAGCTATGAATTTATTGACAATTTCCAAATCATTCGTGGTATTCCCTATGATAAATAGATACCTGGGCTACACTAACATGTGCATACGCACCCACACATGCATGACTCGGAAGGAGAAATGTAATATATTAATCATCTCAATTTCATGAAACTTCTCACCTTTGATATTCTTGAAAATTTTTGATAGTATCTGTGCAGTTGACATCAGAGCAACAATTCCAGACACTGGGCTTACAGCACCAGGAGTAACCCCATCAAAAAGTGAAGATGTATCCATTCGAGAAGCAACTACATAAACTGTCTCATTCTGCTCACTGGAGGCATTTTTAAATCGTGGAAATAATGTTGACCATACATTACGACTACCCAAAGGATCACAGAATTTCACTGAATAAAGAAAAGAAACTTATTTACACATTTCTAAATATTCTCAAGTAAATGGAATGCTAAACAAGGATATAAAACACTGACATTAATTTAAGATTAACTATATATTTCTCACGCACTTGGATTAAAATTTGTGACCATTTTACTCCTCCGTATACATGTAGCAGAATCAACAGTAGCAAACATGAATGATGTCATTTCCATAGCACACAAAGAGCGATCATTTTTCTTATTTCTTCCATTTGAGTTGTAATCATTGTAACACTGCAAGAAACAGAACATGAATGACTTAACAAGAACATATCTTTTAATCATTTTTTCTTGTTTAAAAAAATGGAAAGTTGTAATGAACTATCAACTCAATAGTATGTACATTCACCTTCATAATTTTCTCAATATCTTTTTTTATATAAAATATTGGAAAGCCCCAGTCCTCCATCAAGAGTTTTGTTCCATGAGGATTCCAAACATCAAGAGGATTCTTGGCATCACAAGTCTCATTACTCGATAAACCTGAGTAACGATTTGGACATGTGTCTTCATGTGTGAAGTGTTCAGGTATTGATCCATTGTTTATTAAAGCTATTCCATTAACTTTACCAGAATTTTTTAGCTTTAGGAGTGAGTCTCTGAAAAAACAAAAAAATCATTTTTAGCAGTCCAAATTGTTTGCAACAATCAAGAGATAATTCATGACAATTTCTCAATTCCATTTTAATAACATCACAATTAACTGATATTAAATACCAAATACTAAATAACACTTCTCAGGGAACATTACAGAGAACTTTATACAAATCTTTACATCACGTTAGTTAAGTCAATACTTACATAATCATCGGTAGTGTGGTCACTGTTCTTTCAAACATACATTAAAATACTAGAAACTGTTCACCACAGATTTTTTTGAATAGCAGCGAGATGTCTCTGCCTCCAACCCCCATTCATACATCATGAGCACCACTGGTTTTCTTAACCACACTGTTTCTCACACACTTTTCTTAGGCAACCAAGTACTAGAGTGTAGAATTTTGTACAAAAATTGGCTTTCAAGAAAACTGACTTTTTTCTAGAGAGCATATAAGTACTGATTCATATTCACATGTTACTATTTCATACTCAAGAGTCCTGAAATACTTAAAGTATTTTTTCAGCCGGAAAGTTGATCTCAGAACCGATGCAAATGCTGTGTTCGAGGTACCATATTCCTCAGATCGGTATCTGATAATACCATGAATAACAGGTTTCAACACACAAGTTGAAATATTTTTTCAAAATGGAAATGCCACTCTCTATACTAGGTCGACTAATCAGTTCTCAGAAATTTGGATGATTACAGTAGATTACATGACATACCTTAAAGTACAATCAATAACACTTAAGATTTTAATTTTAATTTTCCCGTATATGTAAGTATATTCATAGTATTATACGTATTATAGGGAAAGTTATGTAATGCTGCGGAAAATAGATTTCGACGGAAATACACATTTCGGGATTCCCTAATACCGAAAAGTGGTTCTTTTACAAACGTCCGTCTGTGAACGCCACTAGCGCCTAAACCATGCAGAGAATTTTTTTCCAAATAGAAGACACCCCTGTCCTGGCTCGAGTCGAAGCTTTGATATTTTAAAAAAGCTTCCTTTAAAATGTAGAGGTTCTTTACATAAAGCACCCGGGACATTTTCGAATTTTTCTCAAACTGCTAAAACATTTTTTCGTCAAATTTCTTCTAAGAATAGAGTAAAATACACATATTTCCATGGTTAACTCTGAATTTTCGATAATTGCAACAGTTTAAATTTTTTCGGCGTATTCCTACAACTACAAAATTGAAGAAAGAGATTTTTGCTATAAATAAAATGCATTGTCCATAATTAGTTCTTCCATGAAGGCCATGTACATTTTTTGAAACTTCTAGTATTTTTCGCGCAATATTGCGTGAAATGTACGCAATTTTAAAGCATTACAAAACTTAGATTTTCTCAAAATTGCTCCAAATATTGTTTTTAAACGTTTGGTACGGATAGTGCTAAATGTAATCAATAAGATGACAAACGCCATACTGCTCTATTCTTTTCTTTCAAAAATTACAAAAATTTAATTTACATGACTTGTCAGGTCTTCAATATTTATAATTAGCGACGATTTGTCCACTTTATTATATTTATGGGTACACATGCTTTAAATAATGTCAAATACAGTTTATCGAAAACCCAACAATTTTCTGTGAAAACTAGATCAAAAGTCCGCATTTTCAGAAATGTTCAAACGCCATTTTCTCAAAAAAGGCTTTAAATTTTTTCTTCAAAATTGTTGATCATTAGTATGACATTAAGTTAATTTCGGGGTATTTTTTTTTTTTCAAAAGTTACATAAATGTAATTTCTTTGAAAAGTCTCTCAAGCCGTTATATTCACATTCACAGCAATTTGCAAAAACACTCGTATTTGTGAGATATATGTGCTCCAAATGACTTCATTCGAAGTTTCTTGAGAACTCAAAATTTTCTGTAAAAAAGGGCTTCAAATTTCGAATTAATAATTGTGCTTAAACGCCAGTTTTTTTAACGGCTCCAAATTTTTCAAAGAAAATTACCATTTAAGGCAAGGTTTTACTGTTCTTAAATATTTTTAAAATAATATTTACGTTCTATTACTAAACCGAAAAATTAAGAAAATTTCAAAAAAATGTACTTTGGGCGGCGATAGATTGCAGCTGGCAAGAGTATGTGGCAAGTCCGTACACGTTAGCTGAGACCAAAGGAAATAGGAAACTTATACGGGGAGGTGTGTGCCACTAGTAGCATCACAAGTAAACAGTTTTGAATTTTCGGAATGAATACTGTAAATCTTCACATTTGCTTGAAACAACCCAGATGTTTTGTTTTTTTTAATTATGAAGATTACGTAATCGATTTTGCAATACAACAACGTTAAAAAGTTGTTCTGTAATATTATTTAGGATCATAATAGTTTCCGCACGATTTAAAGTCTGATACGAGATTTGTTAACTGTATCTGTATTTCGTAGACTTTAGTTATTCTATTGTTTTCTTGTTGAAGGGGTGCATGTGTGATATACGCGCACGTTCATTTGAGCCCTGAATAGCGTAACTTCTTTACGAACATTAGTTGAATTAAGAATAAGTAATAGTATTGAACATTGTTAATAAAATCTGTTAACCAGATATGTCCGCTCCCGTACAATATACACAATTTTGCATCGAATAACGAGCTTCAGATTTGATATTAGAGTTCTGACGTCAAAATAACCAATCTCAACTACTCTAACATCTAGGGATCATCAAATGGCGAGCGGATATTAATAAAAGCTTCAAACATTCTTTACAATTGTTTCTTTTCCTAGTGTATTAAATTTATATATATATATATATATATATATATATATATATATATATATATATATGTGTGTGTGTGTGTGTGTGTATACATATATATATAGTGACGTCATGGGATTGTGCAACCCTATAACGCCACCGTCTAGCACCTGTGAACTCCCACACGCAGCGAGGATAGCATACGCGGGGGAGCAGCGGCTCTTAAACGCGCAACCTGTTATCCGTTTACCGTACTACAGCGCTTGAAATAGCGAGCAACGTTTTTCCAGTGGAGGGTTGAAAGAGGAGAAGCAACCCCTCTCGAAATTTTCCTAGGCGTCGAGCCATAAATAAGGTAACACGCTTCGGGAGCGCTCTCTGATATTCCAGCAACGACAAAGAACGCTCTCTGATATTCCGGCAACGACAACGATCGCATCGGTAGCGCTTGAATCACAGCAAGGTCTTCTCGAGATGGAGTAGGAGTTTATTTAAATACATGAGGGTAGAGTCGTATAAATTAGACTACCGAAGTGATAGGAGAAAGTGGAATCGGCATTAAGTCTAATATTTCCTAGATTCGCGCAGGACTCTGAATTCTTCCAGTAGTCATATTGCTCCTTACTACTGCACAAGCCAAAGGTGTAGTAGTTAGGCCGCGCACGCAAACGAAAGGGGAGCAGTAATTTAGATAAAACTGGAAGCGCGAATTAATTTATACAACGAGGCGTGTGAAGATAGAAAAGGAGGCACCTCCAAGAAGGCTCAAGCGTACGAGCGAAAGATATGGTCTTGGATGGAAGGCAGGGCGTGGAGGTGCGAAGGACTTCGAACGCTCGACGCAGCAAGTGAAGATTTCGGCGAAACGTTGGAGAGGATCGCAGCAACGCGACACTTCACTAAAATAGCTTAAAGTGGGAAATATTTGTTTTGTTATGCGCGATGGTAGGACAAGTGTAATCCCGAATTATTTAGGCAGTTGAAAAAAGGAGAGCCATACCTTGTACTGTTTTACGTGACAGGTGATTTAATTGTTGTACAGTTCTTTTTTGTAATTTTGAGGGAAGTTAGAATGGTGTTGTGTGTTGTAAACATGCCTAGTCAGTGCCGCCATCTATGATGCACGATCGGTAGTCGTTTCTCGTTTTTACCAGTCGTGTCCACCGCCAACGCCAACACAGACGTAATTATTTTGTCACTTTGCATTCAGCTAAAGTTATGTTAAAATAAAGATCGGTTTGTTAAACGAGAAATGTGACTTCAATATACCTGCACGAACACAACAGTAAGGTTTCTATTTTTGTGCTCTTTATTCTCTGTAAAAGTGTGTTCATTTTTTTTTGTCGTGTAATTGTGTCACCAAAATTTTATGGGTAAATTATACTCTCGTTTGTTCTCAATCTTTGCAATTTATTTTGTGTCGAGGGTTCAGACCTTTCTCGTACCCGAAAGATCCTGCTTCCTGAGAATTTTAAGCTCGCTTCACGAGAAAATCTTGATAACAAGCTTACTGCACATGCGTGTTGTTGAAGGTGGTAAGTTGGGGGTAGGCATATATATGTAGATATGTAGAGAAAAGTAAAGATTATTCATGATGTCCATAAAGAAAGAAAACAGCATGAGTGCGTTGAATGGCGATATAAATGAAATAGTAAATGAACGAAAACTATTATAATTTTTTTTCAGCACATCATACAGAAAAGCAAGGATAATTTTATAATAAATGGAACATTCAGAAATAAATGCCATCCAATATATCCCATTATGAATGAATTCGAAACAACAAATTCATTACCTTATACAAATGTTTTATTTCCTCATCGCTTCAAACAACTTTTAAATATAATGTTAATGTTAATCACTTAACTATTCGTAAAATCGTAGTATCTGGCAAATAATTTCTTGGTCCTGTAGCATTACATTCTTTAAATACAAAAATAATTAAATACTCGAAAAAAATCAGACGTTAACAACATAACGAATGTCATTGGCTTCAATTCGTAATTTTTAATTTAATCATTAACTCCAAATAATTCGTTCTGGCACAATGGAAAAATTGGAGTTTTTTAAGTGCAGTGCAGAAATGCCATATTAGGCGAAATTACTACAAGTGGGTCGAAGTGTGGTGACCATGGAATCCAATATATACGTTTCCAAATGGTTTCTGATTGTTTCTATCCAAGGTTTGTCTCTATTTAAAAGATACGAAAAATGAATAACTAAATAGACAACCAATAAACATTAATAAGTGATATATAGCCCAATTTTCTTTTGCATATAATTAAAATAA